ATGGGGCACCATCTAGTTTTTCTGGTCTCATGGTCATGCAGGTTGAGGTTTGCATGGTCCACTAGTCCCTTGGACTGTTTCCATGTGTCTGATTTTCTTCATTCTTTTTTGCTTTGGATGAGGAGAAACCAATTGTTGCATCTAGATGGCCACTTGCAAGCTGTTAAGAGCCCAGTTACTACTCACAAAAGTAGGATGTAGAACAATGTTTTTGTGTGGTATGTTGTGCCAACTGAGCTTGATGTCCCCTGTGACCATGGTCTCAAACCCACAGGCCCAACAACTCACTCCCTCAGGGTGGTTAGCTATGACTAAGAAGTTACCACAACTTTGCCTCGTTAGTTCTATTTACATTGGCATTCTTACAGCACACACAAATACATATATAGAAATATCATCTATATGGTCATGGACATACTCCTTTTTGTCTAGACATACCTGATCATTTGGCTTGTCTACTTATGTATCCACCCATAGATTATTGTTTGTTATTACTGATAATGCTGTACTGTATATGTAAAAGTGTTTATCTTTGTTGTCTGTACTTCTTGCCAGCACCACTTTTTTTAAAAAACTGTCTTTCCTACTTGAACAGTCTTGGAATTGTTGTCAAAAATCAACTGAGTGTTCAATTCTGGGCTCTCTATTCTATTCCATTGGTCTATCTATCCTCATATCAGTATCACACTGTTCTGATTTTTTCACTCTATCATTAAGTTTTTAAATCAGAAATAGGAGTCCTCCAGCTTTGTTTTTCTTTTTCAATATTGTTTTGACTATTTGAGGTCCCTTGAAATTCCTTATGAATTATATGGGGAATTTTTCTATTTCTGTAAAAATGCCACTGGGCATTTTTATAAGGATTGTGTTTAAGCTGTACATTGCTCTGGCAATACTGCTACTTTAATAATACTAAATCTTACAATCCATGAACACAGGAAGTCTTTCTATTTGTTCAGGTCTTCTTTAATTTCTTTCACCAATATTTGGTACCTTTCAGTGTCTTTCACATCCTTAGCTGAATTTATTCCTAAGTATTTTATTTTTTTGCTGCTATTTTAAATGGCATTGTCCTAACTTCCTTTTTCCAATTGTTTATTGCTAGTATACAGAAGTATAAGTGATTGTCAAGTATTGCTTTTGTATCTTGAAACTTGGCTTAATTACTTTATTTGCTCTACCAGTTTTATTGTGGATTTCTTAAGGTTTTCTACATATAAGATCGTGTCATGTACAAACAGAAATAACTTTACTTCTTCCTTTTCAATTTGGGTATCTTTTTATTTCTTTTTCTGCTCTGGCTAAGACTTTCAATACAATGTTGAAGTTGTTGTTGTTGTTAGTTGCTGTCAGGTGAGCTCTGACTCCTGGTGACCTTGTGTATAACTAAGTGAAATGTTGCTTGGTCCTGTATTATTTTCATGATTGTTGATATGTTTGAGCCCACTGTTGTAATTATTGTTGTCAATCCACCTTCCTGAGCAGTGGTGACAGCAGGCATCCTATCTTGTCTGATCTTAGAGAACAGGCTTTTAGTATTTCATCACCAGGTATGACATTTACTATGGGTTTTTCTTAAATGCTAAAGAATTTCCTTTCTAGTGTTTTCACCATGAGTGTAGAATTTTGTCAAATACTCTTTCTCTATCTAGTGAAATGATCATGCAGCTTTTTTCCTTTATTGTATTGATGTGGTATAGTATATATTGTTTGATTTTCTTATGTTGAACCACCCTTGCATTCCTGGGATAAATCTCATTTGATCATGCTATATAATGCTTTTAATATCCTACTGGACTCAGGTTGCTTGTATTTTTTGAGAGTTTTTAAATCTATAAACATAAGGGATAGTGGTCTATAGTTTTCTTTCTTTTGAATCTGTATCTGGCTTTGGTATCAGTGCACTCCTGGCCTCTTGGAATATGTAAGGAAGGATTCCCTCCTCTTCTATTTTTTGGAAGAGTTTGAGTAGGACCAGTGTTAATTTTTCTTTAAATGTTTAGTACAATTCACCAGTAAAGCCATCTGGTCCTGGACTTTTCTTTGTTGGGAGGTTTTTAATTACTGATCAAATCTCTACTTCTTACAGGTATGTTGAGATTTTCTATTTTTGAGTCAGCTAGGGAGTCTGTGTATTTCACCTAGATTATCTAATTTTTTGACATATAATATTCATAGTTGTGTTTTCTCTTTTTTCTTCTTAGTCCTTCTACCAAACATTTAAAACTTTGGGGATCTTTTCAAAGAATCAACTTAAAAAAAAAACAAACACAAAAAAATCCACTTTAGATTTCATTGGTTTTACTCTTTTTCTATTCTCTAGTCATTTATCTCCATTCTAATCTTTATTATTTTTTGTCTTCTGGTAGTTTGGGGTTTGGTTCACTCTTCTTCCTCTAGTTCCTTTAGGTGTGAAGTTAGGTGGCTAATTTGTGATCTTTCTTGCTTATTTAATATAGTCATTTATAGCTATAAAATTCCCTTTTAGTAATGGTTCTACTGCAACCCTTAAGTTTTGGTGTGCAGGTTGCTATCTCCAAAGGCTGGGGAATGGTAGCTGCTAATGTGAAATGTCAAAATTCACCAAAATTGATCAGCCTTTTTCTTCATCAAGCATTCTCCCAGATGTTGCAAGTGTCTGGGTAGACCCCAGGGTTCTGAAACAGTTGATCTTAACAGGTGTTGGCAGCTCGATAGTTCTTGTGATGTAGGTGTTTCCTACTCCATCATCTTCTGTGACATCACTCCCATGCAATGGAATATTAAGAAATAAAAAGGAATATGCTAAACATGGACAAACCTTGAAAACATTATCTTAAGTGAAAGAAGCCAGTCGAAAAAAGGTCACATATTGTATGATTCCACTTATAAAAAATGTTCAGAATAATCTAAGACTGGTAGTTGATTAGGGCTGAAGGGAAAAAATGCAGAGTGACTTAATGGGCACAAGGTTTTTTTGTGTGTTCTAAAACTGATTGTTGTGACAGTTATACAAATCTGAATGTACAAAAAATCTTTGAACTACATATATATTTTAAATGTAAACAGTTAATTGTATAGTATGTGAATTATATCTCAATAAAGCCATTATATTTAAAATATCTCTAAGTAGAACTATTAGGTATGTCTATGCAGGAGAGGAGTTTGCCCAAGACCATGTATAGAGTTGGCAGACAATGTTTCTACAAGTGTATTGCTATGTTCTGTAAGAACTCCCAGGTATATAGTAAAGCTAACAAGAGACAAGGTTGTAGTCACTTCTTGGGCACAGCCAGCTACCCAGAGGGAGCAAGTAGTTAGACCTGTGGGCTTGGGACCATAATCGCAGGGGACATCAAGCTCAATTGGCATAACATACTACATAAAACATTGTTACACACACATCCTACTTTGGTGAGTAGTGACTGGGATCTTAAAAACTTGCAAGCAGCTATCTAGATGCAACGATGGATCTCTCCTCATCCAGAGCAAAGAAGAATGAAGAAAACCAAAGATTCATGGAAACAATTAGGCCTAGTGACTGGTATACCATGTGATCCTCAGCCTAAACAACTATGAGACCAGAAGAAATAGATGATGCCTGGCTACCACTGTCAACGACTTGGAGGAGGATCTATGTAGGAGATCCTGGATAGAGTGGGAGAACAATGTGGAACAAAACTCAAAATCATCTGAAGAAAAAAAAAAAAAAGGGACCAGGTTTGCTGGTCTGATAGAGCCTGATGGAACCACTGAGACTATGGCCCCTAGCTGCCCCTCAGGTCTGGAATTGAACCCACTCCTGTGGCTTCCAGCCAAACAAAAGACATGCATATGAGCTGCACATTTACACTAGGTAGATACGTTCCTTGGAGAGATCAATCATGGCAGAATAGGAGGGCTATATATGCACAGGAGACAGCTCGGGGGGCAGGAGCTCATGGATGGAAGGGCACAGGGAAGAGGTAACTATGGAGAGGAAGTGGGAGGGGAGCTGTTGAATTGTGGTAAATTGTAGTCAATGTCATGAAACAAAGTATATGTGAGCTGCTGTATGGAAAGTGAATTTGCTCTGTAAACTATCACCCAAATGACAATTTAAAAAAAGGCACAAATGAGATAGATGGGAGGGGGTATGGGGTGTAGTAATTGCTTACGGGGCACTGAATTTCTCTTAAGGGTGATTAAAAAAAATTGGAAATTAATAGTGGTGATGGCTGCACAAAATGGTGCATGTTATTAATGTCACTAAATTGTAGACATAAAAATGGTTGAAATGGCAAAAAAAAAAAAAAAAAAAGGCCCCAGTATTGCATGAGACATCCTTATATTAAAACATGTTTCACTGTTTACCTGAAATTCAAATTCAACTACACATTCTGTATTTTTATTTGCTAAATCTGGCAATTCTATGTGTTGACAGAAATAAAAGATCTGGAATGCCCTATTACCATGCTAGATGTGTCCTTTACCACTTCCACTGTGCTCATCAAAATAAGCTAGTAAAACCAGGCTTACTGGTCTGATATAGACTGGTAAAACTCCCACGACTTTGGTCCCAAGTCACCCTTTGGGCATACAATTTATCTCTTTCCAGTGGCTTAACTCTCAGCCAAACAACAGACAGACCAACAAGCTGAACACCTGCACAAGGGAGAGGTATTTCTTAGAACAATCAACCACGAGATATCAGAAGGGCAGCATTTGCACAGGGAGAAATGCAGGGAGGCAGGAAGGGCAACCCATTGGGAGGAAGTGAGAGGTGAGATGTTAACAGCATAGGGAACCTAACCAGTATCACAAAACAAAATGTGTATATGAACTGTTGAATGTAAAATGAATCTGCTTTGTAAAATTTCACCCATATCACAAGAAGAAGAAAAAAACAAAACAAAACAAGCTAATAAATCTAAGAAAGAAATATATCAGCATTTTTTTGACAGCCCATTGTATCTAAACCCCAGGGACACAATAAGGCTTTGATGATCACAAACTGTGTTGTACTTTCAAGAAGGACTTACCATTGGGGTCTTTCCTGAACAGTGTGTTCATGACTGTAGCATGGAGCTTCACACTATTCCATTCCTTCACTATTAGTCCAGATGACTGAAAACGTTCCAACACTCGATTAACTAATTCTTGAAGCCTGAAGAAATTGAAAAGCATAGAAATCTTCATAAATCCTTGGACCCCTGATTACTAATTTAACAATATTTATGAAACATCTAGGAGCCCTTGTAGCACAATGGTTAAGTACTCGGCTGTGAATGAAAGTCTGGCAATTTGAACCTATCAGCTGCTCTGCAGGAGAAGGACCTGGTTGTCTGCTTCTATACAGATTACAGCCTTGTTCACAATAGTAGGTCCTAGCTGCCTAAAAATCAGACACTCATGATCATCAAAAGATTTCACAAAAAGAGTAAAAAGAGAATCCACAGACTGGGAATTTTTTTTTTTTTTTTTGCAATGTTTTCTCCCCTCTCCTCCAACCCCTGGTAACCAATAACGGGAAAACATTTTTGACAATGACATATCAGACAAGGGTTAATCTCTAAAATTTACAGAAAACTCTAACACTTCAACAACAACAACAAAAAACAGACAATCCAATCAAAAATGGGCAGAGGGCATGAACAGATATTTCCACCAAAGACGACATTCAGGTGGCTAACAAACACATGAAGAAATGCTGGCAATCATTAGGCATTTGGGACATGCAAATCAAAACAAAAATGAGATATTATCTCACCCCAGCATTAATAGTAAAGTTCAAAAAAACAGAAGACAACAAATGTTGGTGAGGGTGTACAGAGACTGGAACCCTCACTCACTGCTGGTGGGACTATAAAATGGTGCAACTAGTGTGGAAAACAGTATGGCACTTCCTTAAAAAATCTGGATATAGAAATACCATTTGATCCAGCAATCCTACTACTAGGTATATATCCTAGAGAAATAAGAGCTATAACATGAATAAATATATGCACACCCATGTTCATCACAGCACTATTCACAATAGTAAAAAGATGGAAACAACCTAACTGCCCATCAACAGAGGAATGGATCAACACACTATGGTACATACACACAACAGAACACTATGCAATGTTAGAGAACAATGATGAACCTGTGAGACATCTCATAACATGGATGAACTTAGAGCTCATTATGCTGAGTGAAATTTGTGAATCATAAAAGGTCAAATATTGTATGAGACCACTACTGTAAAAAAGTTAAGAAAAGGGTTTTACAAGAAAAGAAATATTCTTTGATGGTTACCAGGAGTGGGTGGGAAAGAGGGTAAACCACTAACTAGAGGGTAGACAATAAATAAATAAATTATTTGATAGCTGTAAAACCAAGATCAAACCCACTGTCGTTGACTCAATTCTGACTCATTCTGACCCCTATAGGGTTTCCAAAGCTGTAAATCTTTACAGAAGCAGATTGGCTCACCTTTCTCCTGTGGAGCGGCTAGTGGGTTCAAATTCCTGGCCTTCTTAGTTAGCAGCCCAATGCCTTAACCACAGCGCCACCAAACCACCTTAGATGTAAAGCCTTATTTAAAAAAAAAAAAAAAAGGAAAAGAAAGAAAGTCCAGATAGAGTAGGACAAAAATGTGAGATAGAACACACACACACACACACAAGACCAGGGTTACTGGTCTGATAAAAAACCAAACTCACTGCCATTGAATTGATTCCAACTCATAGCAACCCTCTTTGGGTTTCCAAGGCAGTAAATCTTTATGGAAGTAGATTGCTCAGTCTTCCTTCCACAGAGTGGCTGGTGGGGTTGAACTGCCAATCTTCTGGTTAGCAATCAAGTGCCTTAGGCATTACACCACCAGAGCTACTGGTCTGATAGAGGCTGGTAAAACCCCAAGACTTAAACACTTAACACCCTTCAATCGTTGAACTGAAGTCACTCCTGTGGGTTAACTTTCAGCCAAACAATAGACTGGCCTATAATGTGAACGGTAACACCAGGTAAGTATACACTCATTAGAACAACCAGTCATCAAAAGAGCAGCATTTGCTCAGAGATAAAGGTCAGAAGGCAGGAAGGGGTATGAAAGGACCACCAGTGGAAACAGTAAACACAGGGAGGAAGTGGGAAGAGTGCTGTTACACTGTGGAGATTGCAGTCAATATCACAAAACAAAATGTATAAGAACTGTTGAACAGAAAACCAATTTACTCTGTAAACATTCACTCAAATTACAAAAGAAAGTAAGAAAGAGATTACAGCCTAGAAAACCCTATGGGTTTATGTCTATAGGGTCACTCACTATGAGTTGGAATCAACACAGTGGCAATGGGTTTGCTTTTTGTTGTTGTTGTTTTATTGTGATTTGGGTGAAAGTTTACAGAGCAGACTCATTTTCCATATAGCAGCTCACATACACTTTATCTCATGACATTGATTACAATTTACCACAATGCAACAGCTCCCCTCCTACTTCCTCCCCATAGTTACCTCTTCCCTGTGCCCTTCCCTCCATGCACTCCTGCCCCCTGAGCTGTCTCCCCGTGCATACACAGCCCTTCTATTCTCCCGTGATTGATCTCTCCAAGGCGTGTGTCTACGTAGTGTAAATGTTCAGCTCATATGCCTATCTTTTGTTTGGCTGGAAGCCACAGGAGTGGGTTCAATTCCAGGTCTGAAGGGCAGCTAGGGGCCATAGTCTCAGTGGTTCCATCAGGCTCTATCAGACCAGCAAAACTGCCCCCCCTTTTTTTCCTTCTAAATGATTTTGAGTTTTGTTCCACATTGTTCTCCCACTCTATCCAGGATCTCCTACATAGATCCCCCTCCAAGTTTTTGACAGTGGTAGCCAGGCACCATCTAGTTCTTCTGGTCTCATAGTTACATAGGGTGAGGATTACATGGGGTACCAGTCACTTGGACTAATTGTTTCCATGAATCTTTGTTTTTTTTCATTCTTCTTTGCTCTGGATGAGGAGAGACCCATCATTGCATCTAGATGACCACTTGGCAAGCTTTTAAGATCCCAATCGCTACTCACCAAAGTAGGAGGTAGAACACTGTTTTGTGTAATATGTTATGCCAATTAAGCTTGATGTCCCCTGTGACTATGTTCCAAGCCCACAGGTCCAACTACTCACTCCCTCTGGGTAGCTGGTTGTGGCCAAGAAGTGACTACAACCTTGTCCCTTGTCAGCTCTACTATATACCTTACAGAACATAGCAATATACTTGTAGAAGCATTGTCTGCCAACTTCAACATGGTCTTGGTCACACTCCCCACTGCACAGACATACCTAATAGTTCAGCCTATCCACCCATCTATCTACACGTATATCCATGGGCAACAGGTTTGCTTTTGATGGGGCATCTCCATACTATGTGCTATCATTGTACAAGGCACTGCATAAAAAGAGGAAGAAGAAAAGGCTGCAGTCCCCACCATATTAGAGCTCACAATCTTATCAAGAAGACAGACACAGAAACATATAATTGTAATATATCATGGTGAGTGTTATGGGGCACAATAAAAGGAATGATCAACTCTACCCAGTGAGTGCCATGTTTCACAAGAGGTTTGAACTTGGTCTTGAAGAATTATTAAAAGCTTGAAGATAAAATCAAGAAAAGAAAGGCCTTAAAACGGAAGAAATAGCATATGCGATGAAGCTCAGACCTACAAGATCATAGCATATTTGAAGAACTGGAAATTATTTATTATAGCTATAACACAATGGAGATGAGCTGGATTGGTTAAGTAGTGATCTGATTTGAGAAGCCACAGAAACGTTTTTAAAAAGGGAATGATGTGCTTAGAAGTACATTTTTGAAATTCAACTGCTGTGGCAGAGTGGAAAACGCATTAGAAGCAAAGAGACCAGCAGTACAGAGGTCAGCTAGGCAGCTACTATAATAGTGGGAAAAACAATAAACATTTACTGTGTGTCGGGCACTGTTCTAAGCACTTTATAGCTATTAAGTCATTTAATCTTCACAATAAATTATTATCCTATTTTACCAATGAGACAACTGAGGTACAGAGAGGTCATGAAACCTGATCAAGGTCACATAACTAGTAAGTGGCAGAGCAAAATCAGAACCCATATAGTCTGGCTTCAGAGACCATGCTCTTAGCAACTGCACTACAAAGAAGAAAATGATAAAGACATACATTGTGGCAGGGGCAGGGACAACTGAAACAAGGGAATGGATTTGAAAGAGCTACATGAGAGCTAAGCTGCTAGGTCCTGGTGCTTATTCGGAAGTGGCAGTGTTAAAGGAGGGGAAGGTAAGAACGATTCCCCAGAGTCTGCCCTAAATGACCAGGTGGGTCATTAATCAAGGTGAGGAGTTCTGGAGAACTGCTATTGCTATGTTGTGTTGTGTTACACTGTGTTATTTTAGGAAGAGAGTTAATACAGAATAGGATTTTGCATATGTGGCACAGGCTATCAAAGAGGACATGTCCAGGAGAGATACAGAAATTTAAGTCTGGAGCTCAAAAGAAAAATCTGGGTGACAGATACAGATTGAGACTCATCAGTACAAAAACAGTTGTTAAAATCATGGGACAGATGCAGTTACCTGAGGCGAATTCAGACTAAGCCAGGAAGAAAGCTAAGAACAGAGCCCGGTATTTCTACTTCAGAGATAGAGAGGGAATCAGCAAAGACAATTATTAAGGACAAAGAAAGAAAGGAGAATGTGGTATCAGAGAGGCTGCAAAGAGTTACAATATTGGGGGGAGGGTGATAATCAATACAGTACAATGCTACAAAAAGTAAAGGAGGAAAAGATGGCTACTTATTTCTGACAAACAGACCATCATCAGAAGCTTGCCAAAGAGTTTCATCAGCATGCTGGAGACAGAAGCCTCATTATAGAGGGCCAAGAGAGAGGAGGTAAAGGTGATGGGCACACATAACTGTCAAGAAACTTGAAAGGAAGGTGAAAAACTAATGCTTGGTAATTAGAAGCTACAGAGTTGAGGAAAAGTTCTATTTGTTTTCAATAAGGAAAGGAATTGAAAGTGCTTATTGAAAACAAGAAATTATCCAATAAAGAGGATGAAGATGAAACTTTAGGTGATAAAGGAAAATGACAGAATAAGATCTCAAGGAGACAAGAAGGAGGGACTTCTGGTAAAATGGCAGGATA